TGAACCAGGGAGGCCTCCCAGAAGAGCTGCAGGAGATTTCGAAGTGGTCTGGAGGCCGTGGTTGAAGCCAATGGCGATTTTATTGAATAAATATATTCTTTACTATTTCAAGATATTTTTATATCATTTTGGTAAATTTATACTTATTCATATCTCTCACTCTCCCTCTGTTATCTCAGTCTTTTCAAATCTATCGATCTCATTCAATGTTCATATCTCTCTCTCACTCTCTCTGTCTGTCTGTCTGTCTATCTCTCTATCTCAGTCTGTTCATATCTATCTCTCTATCTGTCTATCTATCAAATGCAAGCGATCTAAAATACAAACACACTTTGGCTACATCAGAATTACATACATAAATACACACACACACAGAGAAACACACACACACACACACACACATATATATATATATATATATATATATATATATATATATATATATATATATATATGTAGAAATAAGAAAATTTGGCTACATCCGAAATGCTTATTTCCACCTTTAAAAAATGCCAATACTTTCGAAAGATAACATATAACAAAATTTGACGTAGCAAACAAAACCCTCCTCTGTAGCTAAACTGGTATAGCACATCAGGCTATATGACGGTTCCATGTAGGAGACAAGTTCGATTCCTGTCGGAGGACACATATTTTCTATGAAAATTTCTCGGACATTTAGGTCGGTAAATGTTATTAATACTATTTATTATAAACAAAGCATTTATTTAAATATATGTATCTATACAAATATCATATAACTTAAAATATTTATCGTGTTTTTTCTATTTCGTATTGTATAATATAATTTCTGATGAAAGATTGAGGGCAATCTGAAATATCAAATATATATATATAAATAAATAAATACTTTCATAAAATAAAACATTATTATTCTATAAATTTGCAACTTTTTCTATATATACATATTAAGAAAGTATACGCAGCTTCTCATTATGCTATATATATATATATATATATATATATATATATATATATATATATATAATATGTGAAATATATAGAAAATAGGAAGGAACTGGTTGAGTAAATAATCCAAAAGTCCCTTAGTATTTTAGTTATTATTTTTAAAAAGTAGTGCTCGATACAAAAGTAGAGCATAAATATAATTATCTATTTAAAAAATATGATTCCAAAACACTTAACATAAAGTCTCATGTTTCAAAACAAAAGCCGAAAACTTCAATATAATTATTTAAATTAAATTGAGTTAAAGTAAGCTCTGTTCCATCTTCAAGCGAAATTTTTTGAATAACGTATATCTGAAATTTACGTGTTTTAAAAATTGAAATCAAAATTTCCATGGTAACAGCTAAGGCGAAATGTTTAAATTAATTGGGTAAATTTTGGGTGTTGCGTAAGTAATAAAAATTTCTCTATAATAACTCTAGTATTTCATCTATTTAATTTAAAATAATTATATTGAAGTTTTCGGCTCTTGTTTTGAAACATGAGACAATTTATTATGTCGCGTTTGGAATCATATTTTTAAATAAATAATTATATATATATATATATATATATATATATATATATATATATATATATAACTATGAAATCGATTGTGAATTTTCATTGTAAATGTGTTTTTTACTCTCGGTGTAACAAAAGACCAAAAATCAAATTTTTATTTTAGCAGTTTGCTATCGACAAAGAATAAAGGAAAAAGAAAGCGTGAAAACATCAAGAGAGATTAAAAAAACTGCTTAAATTGGAAATGTTCGATGATAAATTAGTATACACGATGATGAAATATGATAGAAATAAAAAGAATACAGCAGAAAAATCCAATTACACTATTAACGATTTGACAACGGCAAAATCGTCATAGAATTGTGGCCCCTGCAGATTTTCACTTATCAATAAAACAGAAAATGTTTCAGGAAAAGATAGATTCGTTATTTCTTTTGCAGAACTTGTCAATATTCAAGGGTTTCATAACATGTGATTCGCTTGTCGGCTGTTTGTAATAGTGACAGATTTCCCACCGGTGCCAGAAGTCGATGTACGAACTAAATTAACCGTGGGAATCAATTGATGTTTTATTACAGATCAACGGATATTACCAATTGATGATTTAAACTCCACCCATCCAACGATAAGGACATCATTCATTCCTTAATCGATTTTAAATGACGAATTGGCAACTCTATGATTCACGTGGTTAATATTTACTAAGATTAATGAGGTTTTATGGATGTGCGGTGGTGTAAAGGATAACGACTTTGGAGAGCACAGTTCAAATTGCAGTTGATGGTTTGGTTTATTTTGTTTTACAGCATATCAACACCTCAATGTGTTATATAATGCCGACAAGTTTTTAAAAAAATAGTTTCGTATGAATAGAATATGTTTTCTTTGTACGAAATCATTTTGTAGATCTGGTTTCAGTGATATATTTTTTAAAAAGGGCTTTTGTTTAGAGTCTGTTTTCATTTGTTTATTTATGCTGTTTTACCGTATATCAAGAGCTAAATGGGTTATTTAATGCCGGCAAGATTTTTAAGATAGATTCGTATGAATAGAATATGTTTTCATTGTAAGGAATCAGTTTGTAGATCAGGTTTCAGTGACGTATTTTTATGAGGCGGTTTTTTGCCTAGAGTCTGCTTTCATTTGTTTATTTATTTTGTTTTGCGGCATATCAACACCTCAGTGGGTTAATTAATGCCGGCAAGATTTTTTTAAGATAGATTCCTATGAATAGAATATGTTTCCTTTGTAAGAAATCAGTTTTTGTCGTAAGTCAAATGTATTCCTGATAATTTGTTTGTTTTTATCAAAAATATATTGCTGGTATTTTTATTATAAAAATCTATATCTATACTTTCATGGTGCTTTGACACCAGTTTGCGGGTTAACTATTTGTCCATAGTTGGGATTCTACCACGCCGGGTCAATGTGGAGCTGAGAACTGTTGACCATGTTCACCATAGTCTATGAATATAGAATACAGCGCAGTACGTAATCTGTTCAATGAAACAACGTTAAAGATTAACACTCACCAGCAGCGGTTGCGTAATTCTTCAGACTTCGATATCAAAGGCTGGCAATTCATATTCTGGAAAAAACATGGCTGCCTTTATACACGTCACATTGAATATTTTGAGCCTTCTGATTGGTTAAGCCTTCTATTGGTGAACTATAAATTGAGTCAGCTCATTTTGACTATCTCACGAGTACATCAGTGTACCCAAAAATTCCAACAAGAACAATATCAATTAAGAGGTGATTACACGCCCCTCTAAAACTCCCGATAAGATACCTTGCTACCAGATGTAGTTTATCGTCATACCCAGAATATGTATTGCAGTCGATTTCATTACATTCATTTACACACAAATAATTTCATCTTTTCTCACTCCGAGCTCTTAGTATAAATGTGAATATGGACTGCTCCCACTTATAAATATGGCAAGTAGCCCACATTAGAGTAGGATTTGAGGAGTAGTTGATTTAGTCAAATTAAGCCGTTCTATGTATGAGTATTTAATAAACCTTTTGTGTTTTTCCTACCTACATTTTGTTCCTTCAATACTCTCTCTATCTACTGCCTTTCTAATTATCAACTATTTTGAACACAGACCACATTACAACAGAAGGCTTTAGTGTGGAGCAGTGAAGAGAAAGGAGAATAAAAGAAGTGGATCCAAGAAAAACAGATGATGTCTATTGCTAATTGCCTATTGCCTTGGTTGTCAACCAGTCTAGGAGAGAGTTGGGCTCCGTCAGGCTCTTTTTCCCAAGATCTTCTTGGGTAGACGATGAACTATATTCATTATTAAGGCCATTGATTGAAAGACTGGGGGTTTGGGGTAACATGAAACTATCTCTTAATTGTTTTTGTTCCCAGGTCCACCTTGACCCGTGGTTAGGATCCCAGCTTTGGTCAAATTAGGAACTCCCAAACAAAAACAAAACACTATGATATTATAAAAAATATATTTTTATAGTAAAAAATCCAGCAATACATTTTTATGCAAAAACTTACCAATAATACTTATTTATAGCAAAATTACCAACATTACCTATTTGTAATAAAATTACCAAATATACATTTTAAAAGAAAACGACCAATAATACATTTTATAGTAAAATTACAAACAATACATTTTATAGCAAAATGACCAACATTATATTTTATTTGTAGGCGAGGCCATAGATTACGTTCAAAATATATTTAGTTGAAGCCATAAAATTTTATTTAAAATATTTACTTTTCGGCATTAAATAATCCATTGATATGCCGCTAAACAATATTTTATGGCTTCAACTAAATATCTAAATATATAAACGGCAAATTCTTTCTGTTCGTCCGTATTTCTGAAAACCCTGCTAACCCAATCCACACTTGCGCTACTTGCCGTTTTGGAATCAGATGATCCCGGGATTGAAAATGTGACCTTCATCTGTTACTTGAACATCCATCATTGGTATTTGTGTTCGGGTGAGGAGGCAACAGTTAAAAATTAAGAATTTAAAATCACTGAAAAAAAATAATTTAACTTTAAAAGTTTTTAATTTATATTGAGTTTAAAGTAACACGAAACATTTATTTTAAATTCATTTTAAAATATCTACAAAACTTATGTGAATTGAAGAAATCAGTTTTATTTCTTCAAAATGCTAAGGAACCAGAGTTAAAGCAAGAGGTTTCGTGATGTGAGGTTTTGAAGTTCCGCAGAGTTTGTGATTTGAAGAACTCAAATCTATTGAAGTTCCGCAGAGTTTGTAATTTGAAGAACTCAACTCAGTTGAAGTTCCGCATATTTTTTGATTTGAAGAACTCAGATCAATTGAAGTTCCGCAGAGTTTGTAATTTGAAGAACTCATCTCAGTTGAAGTTCCACAAAGCTTGTGATTCTGAAGTGTAGTCTTGTAGTTCTATGGAGTGAAGTTATTTCTTCAAAATTATCATTGATGTCTTTTAAGCTGGACAAGTGGTCTGTTTATATTTTAGGCCGCAGACACATTCAAGTTTACAGTACCTGGTATTCGCAAGCGGTCACCCATCTAAGTACTAACTAAGGTCAACGTCGCTTAACTCTGATGATCGTATCAGAACTGGTTTTTCAACTTGATACGATCGTATGCCTTGTACAAAATAAAAATGGAATTCCACTGAGTCCAAATGCACACTGCTTTGGGCATTAGGCAAGCTGATTAAAGCATTGAATAGTAAATTTGTTGATATATTGTGAGTTCAATGTGTATTTGGACACAATGGAAACAGGGTGAGCAATAACTGAGCAGTAATAAAAAAAAAAATAAGATCAATATGACATATGCCTGCAACCAAAAAGAGTTTTTTTTTGGGTGGGGGTATTACTGATCAGCCATTTAAAGGTTATATAGAGCCGAAACATATTTGGGGTTTGTAAGAATTTTGGGGAAATTTTTTTTACTGTTTGACCCATAACTGGGAGGAGAAGAAGTTGATTCAGACTTTTTACCAAAAGTATATGCAATTTAGTGAATATAACGCAACCGACCGGAAGCTTACAGGACCCAATATTTCCAAGTGGTCACCCATCTAGTTACGGACCAGGTTGCTTAACTTCGGTTAGCGGACGAAAACCGGTGTCTCAACGTAAAATGGACGTAAAACATATAATACACACATCAAAGATTACAGCACTTGACATTCTCAACCCTGGCCAGATTCATCATTGCTTAACTTCGGTGATCGTACGATCTTTATTGATTCGACGTGAAATGTCCTTAATCCATACCAGCCGTACATACAAGCTTACAGTAGCTGGTATTATGGAGGCGTCACCCATTAAGGTTCAGACCAGGTTCAACATTGGTTAACTTCGGTGATGGGATGAGAACCAATGATTCTATCTCACATGGTCGTAAGCCATATGACATTGAACCGCATATCCAACCTTACCATACCTGGTAATCCTGAGTGGTCACCCATCTAGTTACTGACCAGGCTCAACGTTGTTTAACTACGGTTATCGTACGAAAAGCGGTGTTTCAACGTGATATGTCTGTAAGCCACGTCAACCGCACATACAAGATTGTAGCATTTAGTGTTCCAGAACAGTCACCCATCTAGGTGATGACCAGGTTCAACGGTTCTTAACTTTGTTACTCAGACGAGAACCGGTGATTCAACCTTATATGACTGTAAGCCATAGCAACCGCACATACACGATTGTAGCTTTTGGTTTTCCAGAGCAGTCACCCATCTATGTACAAACCAGGTTCAACGTCGCTTAACTTTGTTGATCGGCCCAGACATGGCCTAAAAACAACGATAGGGGACAATAGGCTACATGTAAATAGGTAAATAGCGTAAGTAACTTTAAATCCTCATCGTAGAAATTGTGAATTCATTTCCATTTTCTTATTCACAAGTTAATATTTTTCGCAATTTTCTCCATCTCCATAAACCCCCAACGGGCAAAAAGACGTAATGAAATCGTAAGCCAAACTATAGCATTGCTAATCAACATCATTTAGACATCGTTAAAGATTTCGTCGCTGAATTCCAGAGAGGTCTTGATATCGAGGTGTTTAATATCTGATTTGAAAACAAAACGGCAAAACATTACTAGTTTCGAAAGCAAGAGTTTGCCTCAAATCGCATAGATGTTGTATATTTTATTAACTTTCCACACCAGGTGTCTCAAAAGTGAAGCGTCTATTAGAAAAATCGACAGTTTGCGAGCGTAAATTAATTCGAGCCCGTTTTTTTTATGTCTACTTATTAGATATTTTCCGCGTTTCAAAATATTAAGTATTAAGAATTATCTTTGAGGCAGAATTGAGTCTTATTTTATAGTGATTAGTGCGTATATAAAATATGTATCGGCCATCTTTTCCTGAGACTTTGTGACAATCTAATTTGCGCAAGTCTCCTTACTTGATTCAGCAACCAAATAGAAACAAACAAACAAAAAAAAAACTTCCTGTTTTTACTATTTATGGCTTGCATCTTTCTGACCAAAATATTCACCGTAGATCTCCAGGGAAATGGCAAGCGAAAAAGTGGGAGATCACGAGTAATAATTCAATAAAGAAAATAACACAAGCATGAACGGTTAGATTGCACGATTTCCGACCAAGTGACCAGGGTTCGAATCACACAATAGTCGCATTGTCAGAAAGGCGACTTTTTCATCTTGTCGGCATGGTCAGGTTATTTTTTTTTAATTTTTTTTTAGAAAATCAGTATAGCACTCGGTGGAAAGGTTGGGCTTTTATGTGATAAGTAACATACTCAAAAGTTAAAATCATAGCTTATATTTTGAGCAGTTACTTTTAAATATGCTCTGAAAAAATGTACAAAAATACTTAATTTCAGTAGACAAACTGACTTCAAAATTTTACGATTTACATAATAAATCCAAATAAAATTAATCCGAATGATGTAAATAGTGTACATAATACCTCATCCCAGAAATATAGACAGATACTGAAATGGCGAAACGTTGAAATATATATGGCGACAAAGATGAGAACAATAGTCCGAATAATGTAAATAGTGTTCAGAATACCTCATCCCAGAAATATAGACAGATACTGAAAGGCCGAAACGTTGTAATAAATACCAAGCAGACACATTTATGGTGTTGAAACACAACTGCTATTATGTAGCGATTTTTAACATGTTTTAATATCCTAAAATTAATAATATATATATGTATGTTATAAAGAGATATTAGCAACTATATATACGTGTGATAACGTCCATATACAGATGAGCAATGAATATTTATTCAAAATAAAGTATAAACAAAACAGTGTTCAATGTAGTTAAAGACAGCTATAAAGTATATATTAATAAATACACATATACCTACGTTTATAGTGAAAGTTATGATCAAATATAGACTAAACGTGGATAAGAATCCAACAGAATGATTTTCAATCTAACACTTTATTAAATGTTTTTCAGAAATTAAGACATGGAGAAAAAGGAAATAAATTCTGGTATTTTTTTCTTTTGTGTTGTTTGGTTTTCGTTGGTCAGTCATGTATAAGGTCCATTCGACTCGTTTACCTTAGTATAATTTTCGGCCTTACAAATTCATTGAGAGATGACGTCCATCGGAAGTTTCAAGAATTAACGACTGTAAGACAAACGGCAAAAAACTGTAAATATTGTTATTTCTAAGTTTATACAAATTCTATTTTATCTATATGGGCATCACGTGATAATGTATATTCGTAATTATGAGTGTGTGTTTTTATGTGTGTACTTTGTAGACACACACACACACAGACACACACACACGTTGGTTTAAAAAAGTCGAATATACGTGAAACATGATTGAACTAAGGAATACTAAAAATATTTTCTGGTTTTCAATAAAGGATTGATAAACCGTAAAAAACGAATCAATCTATCAATGAAATACTGATAAGCTACACAAGCATGTATTTTAGATTTCGTTACACTCTCTGGAATATCAATGTATAGAAACTAATCTGGTCACAAAGTGAGGCCTCATTTTATATATATATACAGAGTGTCGCATTACCATTGATGACCTTGTAAATTTTATATTTATTTACCAAATGGAATCATGTTTCTGCATGTGAAAATATCTTATTAAGAAATTTTATTGGTTGAATTATGGAAGATGATGTCAGTCAAAATTTACCTGGTTGTTATTTCACAAATGTATGTTTTCTGCCAATTGTCGCGTGACTTTTGGAACATCCTGTAGATTGTAATGTACAATTGATCTCTCACTTTATATCCATATTATAATTTCTTGTTTGTTCATCAAATTCTGATTAGGTATGAATCCACCTCGTCTCCTCCCAGCTATGGGTTAATTAGTAAGAGGTGTATCACTAAAATATTTTTATCTCAAAACAAAAAACAAAAAAAAAAATTATTTCTTACAATCTAAAGATACACCCTTGTGCAAAATATTGAAAGAACCGCTTTAATTTCCTTTTTTCACTACGCGGTCAGTTTTAGATCCCTGGTAATGACGGGGTGCAATCGATTTCCTTTTTTTTCCTCAGATTATGTCATTTGTTGTGGCGTGCAGCAATATGAGTCTATTTTCGAAGTGTATGATGAAATTTGTTTGACCTTGAAAAATATTACGTCATTCGTGATTGCATCAGATTTTTATCACGCTCAGGCACTATTGCCTCGACTGTCGATTAGTTGTCCAATGGCCATTGTCTGCGATAGACGTTACTCCAAAGAAGTTTCCGAAAACTAAAACATTGCATTGTGTAATTATTATTCTGCCGGGAAAATATGTTTACATAAAACAGCGAGTGAGAAAAATCAAATTTATAAAAAAAAAGATCCGTATAGGGATCGAACCTGAAATCTAGTTGTACTCAGAGAGTAATTAGCATTTATTTATTTGTCGAAATGAAACACCGAAATCCGTTTCTTTTTTTTTTCTTTTTTTTTTTTTACCTGGACTTCTATCTTCCGCGATTAAATTTGTTTGGAAACTTTTAGTCGGATCTTCGCGGAAACAAGTTTTTAGAGATTTTTGCCAAAGTAGAGAATTTACAAACGTCTTTGCGAAATCTTTTGAAATCTTTAAACTACCATCTGTTTTTTTTTTTTCTCGGATCAAAAGAGAATGGAAGTTTTAGATGTTTAGAAACTTGTGAAACATTTTGGGAAGAAGCAAATCCAGTCTGTATTGAGTGATTAGTTGGAAGCTCCCACTTAATGCGAAATCATTAAAACAATAACATAAGGTTTTTCTCATGTCTTTTTTTTCATCACTGATCCGAAGACTTGATCGACATGAAAATACAGGGACTAAACTACCAACTAGATGTCAAACAAAGTACAGGTGTCTCGTCTTGGATGGAAGACAAATAAATTAAATATCGATATATTAAATAATAGTTTCAGACTATTATTTTTTAGCGGCAGTGTATTTGGCTCATACATTATGAGGCTGACCTTAGGGTCAGATGGCAGACAAAACAAAGGAAGTCGTTTGTGATTGGCGTAGCCGAACGTGGAATTTTCAGAGTTAAAAAGTGTTTTCAGAAAGTTAAGTTTTTACACACCATGCAGAGCAGACGTGGTTATTTCATCGACGTTTCAATAAAATAAGTTTTAAATCCCTTTTGTCGAAGTT